GAAGTGAAGCTAACGTTGGATTTGAATGTGCCTTGATGCCTTCCTATACAGCATTATTCAGTTTTTGGACACAGCCAATATCACTTCTCTTTGTGCTTTATATATACATATATATAAATATTATTACTTGCCTATAAGGCCCTTAATGGGTTAACTCCTGCGTACCTAACTAGTCTTCTACCACGCTACAATCCATCACGCTCCCTAAGGTCGCAAAACTCTGGACTTTTGGTAGTACATAGGGTAGCAAAGTCCACTAAAGGAGGTAGAGCTTTTTCGCATTTGGCTCCCAAACTCTGGAATAGCCTTCCTGATAACGTTCGGGGTTCAGACACACTCTCTCGGACCTTGAACGTGGTAGTTACCTTGCTGTCTATGGGAGGGTCAGAGAGCCCTCAGATTTCATCAAAAATATCTTAAATTGTGTTCCGAAGATGAACGAAGGTCTTTCGGGTTTGGAACAACACGAGGGTGAGTAATTAATGACAGCATTTTCATTTTTGGGTGATCTAACCCTTTAACTCATGTCAGTTTGGCACCAGTCGCAATGCATGCTGGGTACCCGGCTGCAATGCTAATGCAGTGTCAGGTGTAAGCTTGGCCAATGCACTTCAAGTGCACTGTACTATTAAACATACGTTTTTGTGCAGAAAAACAAGACTTGACAGTGGAAGTTGTGTCCATTCTAATGAGGCTATATATAATGCCTCTTGTGGCACCAATTTACTAACATTGCATTATGAATTCCGTGTGAAATAAAGTTTGTGGCTGTCATAAAACTGCAAGGTGACACAAAGGTAGAGGATCCAAATGCAGTATATTAAATGAAGGGGTATTCCACAATCAAAGTCCAGAAACAGGCAGAAGGTCATATACACAGGTAATCAGTCCAGACATTAACAACAATATTTGGGTCTTTATTTTGAACAGTAGGCTTTTTTTCAATTAATTATTTCAATTACAATATTTTTTAGCCAAACTATAGTTATATAATATGAACAATGACAGAAAATTACCTATTAATATTGATAATAGTATTGTATTATGATTCTTTTTAATTAAATAAATTGCACTGTTTAGTTTTATTGTACTTATTTTTAAATTAACCAAAGAGAATTTGCATTTTGCGATGAGGTCTAAAATACTTTTATGTTTAGGCCTACAAAATGTAAGCGTCTTCCATATTGTACAGCTCACATCTGCCAAATAGCCAACTTCTGCCAACACTTCCACACATGTAACATTTGATCATTTTCTCTGATTACAACCAAAGTTAAATTAGTATAAACGTAAATGACTAATTAACCTCCCCAGTCTTTTGTTAATTTGTCACATGACCGAAGCAATGAATTAAGCGCCTACACCTGGTCGCTTGTTGCTAGTGGCATTTTCACTGTCTGTTATCATACGAAGGCACCTGTCAAGGGGTTTGATATATTAGGCAGCAAGTTAAAAGTCAGTTCTCAAATTTCATGTGTTAGAAACACAAAAGTGTTTTTGACAAGGGCCAAATAGTGATAGCTTGATGTCTGGGTAAGAGCATCTCCAAGTCTTGTGGGATGTTTCCAGTATGCAGTGGTTAGTACCTACCAAAAGTGGTGCAACGAAGAGGTGCACGTGCATTAAGGCTCATTAATGCACGTGGGGAGCGAAGGCTTGTCCATCTGGTAGCATCACACAGAAGAGCTGCTGTAGCTCAGATTGCTGAAAAACTTAATGCTGTTTATGGGGCTGCATAGTTGCAGATTGGTCAGAGTGTCCATGATGACCCTTGATGACCATGATGTCCCCTGTCCACCATTGGTCAAATGAAGGCATCACAGGAGCCAGGAAGTGAAGCTAACGTTGGATTTGAATGTGCCTTGATGCCTTCCTATACAGCATTATTCAGTTTTTGGACACAGCCAATATCACTTCTCTTTGTGCTTTATATATACATATATATAAATATTATTACTTGCCTATAAGGCCCTTAATGGGTTAACTCCTGCGTACCTAACTAGTCTTCTACCACGCTACAATCCATCACGCTCCCTAAGGTCGCAAAACTCTGGACTTTTGGTAGTACATAGGGTAGCAAAGTCCACTAAAGGAGGTAGAGCTTTTTCGCATTTGGCTCCCAAACTCTGGAATAGCCTTCCTGATAACGTTCGGGGTTCAGACACACTCTCTCTGTTTAAATCTAGATTAAAGACACATCTCTTTGGCCAAGCATTCAAATAATGCATCTCATAATCTTGTACTGCAGTTATATCTGATCAAATGCACATTATTATTCTTTAGTTTGGGTTAAACAAATACATTTTGCTTGGTTGGAACAGCAGCTACGCTAATTATGTCTCTATTTGTTTGACATCCCGTGGTAACTAGGATTTACACATGCTTCAGTCTGGATCCAGAACACCTGAGAAGAGATGATGCCAACCCCTCAGTGGACCTCAGATGATGCCAACCCTGAAACAACATATAGAACTACCACATTTTGCTATAAGTTTGATTGCATCATATGATAATTGCTGTTAATAGTGTTCATCGTCTGTTTGATTACGTCTTTAATTGATTTTTCCGTACATTTCTGCCATATGTACATTAACTGACAGTCACCACTGATAAGCTACCACTAAATATTGTAGAAACTTAATTTGCTGTAAAGTTGCTTTGGAACGATTTGTATCGTGAAAAGCGCTATACAAATAAACTTGAATTGAATTGAATTGAATATACACATATACATACACACACTGTAGATTCACAGTAGATTTATCAATGTAATATTCATGGTGTTACTTGCATTTGCATTGAAAATATTCCACTGTAATGTGACCCAAGTGCAATGACCATCATATTTAAAATTCATGATCCCTGCCCTTTCCACAAACCATAAATAACACATGAGCATAATGTAGCACTCTACTGATTAAAATTCATGTGAACTTCAGACTGCCCACATTCCAGAAATGGTTCTTCTGCTCCAAGGTAAGTCTATCTATACGACTTCTCAAAAGAAATAAGACTGCAGTATAGTAGGTGATTTTTTTTTTCTTTCTCTTCCAGATCCTTGCTTGTAAAGAATTTGGAAATGAACTCGACGATCCAGATTGTGGATAGTTATGAAGAAGCTCTTGCCAAAAACATTGTGATTGTTTCTCTTGGTCTTATCATTACTTTCATTAACGGAATGCTAGTGGTGACTTTCTTCTCCAATCCAATGTTTTCAAGAGACTCCAGATACATTTTATACATTCACCTGGTAATCAATGACATGCTCATGATATGCATATCAGTGACTTTATATGTGTTGACCTATGTTTCACCACTTGTGAATGCATCATTGTGTTGTGTATTGGTTTTTCTTGGTGCAACCACCTTTATGATCACTCCATTGAATCTGGCTGGTATGGCAATAGAGCGTTTCATTGCTATCTGCAAACCACTGCATCACTCTCAGATTTGCACACCACGAAGAACCCACCTCTTTATATGTTTGCTATGGGTTATTGGGGCTATACGTTCTATAGCAGATGTCATTATTTCACTTTTAACCCAACCCATATCTTTCTTCAGATCATTTATACCTTGCTACCCAAATTATTTGTTCCCTTCCAAAAGCCACCAGGACAACACCACTGCTTCACAAGTCATCTGCATGTCATTGGTGTGGATAATTCTCATTTATACTTATTGTAGAGTCCTGTTCACCGCCAGAAAGGCTGTTTCAAAGGGTTCAGCAAATAAGGCTCGAAGTACGATAATGTTGCATGGTGTCCAGTTACTTCTTTGTATGCTTTCCTATATCACTCCTTTTATGTTTATAATTATTACTCCTTTTTTCCGTCTTCAGCAAACTAAGATCACTTTCTGTGTTTATCTGTTTACAAATATTTTGCCAAGATTACTAAGTCCTTTGATATATGGGGTCCGAGACCAGAAGTTTGTGAAACAAATGAAGGAATACTTTACTTGTAATGTTGTTATTGTAAAGATAGTACCATCATAATTGTGAATTTTATTAGGCTAAAATGTATTTAGAAATAATTTGATTTATTTGCGTTTCTTTAATTATGACATTTGTTTTGTTTGAGATTTGAGAGCATCAATGAGAGCAGAAGCTCTCATGTGTATGAATGTCACTGAATTAGATAACAAAATGTCAAACCACGTGGCAAATACAGTACAAACAAATGATGAATGAACTTTACTCAGAAATAACTCTACTTTTCTGAGCCATTTTTTTAATCAGCGGGTGTTTTAGTGATTTTTTAGTGGATGTATGAAATCTATTCACCTCAAGTTCACAAAGGTGTTGTTAATCACTTTAACTATGGGAAGAACCCACAAATTGTGTCTTTATTTTGAACAACCTCTATTGCTTTATCAGTTAAAATTATAGCCAAACTAGTTTTAAAATGAACAGTTTTAAAGTTTAGTTAAGTTTAGATTTTCTATTATTATTTAACTTGAGAAAAGAGAAAATGAACGAGAAAAGAAACTCTCTGTGTGATGACTAAAGGTATGCACACTCTTTTGTTTTATTTTGTCATATAAGAATAGCAACTAATTTAAAGCATAGACCAAGAAGGTGTTGTTTTAAAATATTATTAATTACACAATGTATGCATGCATAAATCAAATGGATATTGTTTCGATCAGTAAAATATGCAACACTGTGACTTTATTAGTTGAGAAAGTTTAAAGTGACTGAGTGAGACTTCTACTTCCAGTCTAACTTACTCAGTTATTTCCGTGGATTTGCAGCGCCATCTTGCGGTTTTTCTGTATAGTTTTGCTCGTGCACACTTACAGTGTGTTGAGCTCACCTGAGGAATCTCAGCGTCCGGTGACAGAAGCTTTCGAATATACAACAACAAATACATATTTGGCTTTTTAATCACTCATTATGGCCGAATGTGTGCGAGAGGGCGAAAGTTACACACTAACAGAAACGAAAGTGAAACCCTTTCCTCAGAATCAGATCACTTTCTGTCCTGACAGAAGAACCAAACGCTAAACTGCGCTGAAAGGTAAATGTTACTGAAATTTCCTACTCTTTGACGGTTTTTTTTGTCAATAATAGCTCATTACAGCTAATTATAAAGTTGCCATATTTAAAAATTCGTCACTTGTGGTTCGCAAATGTACAGTATCCTTGAAAACTCTCAGTTCCTGCATTGTTTACACCCAGGTTTTGAACAGGTGTGTTTAAAAGACCCACCACTGCAAAACAGGACAGTGGTACTAACATGTTGGACATGCACATAGTAATAGTACAGTATTTTTTCAGAATGTAACATGTAAATACCATGGTAGCCTACATGAATATGGAAAATCGGGACTTAGGCTATTGGCATCTGCTGTACTGCTTTGTAAAGGACACCACTGCTATAATGATTTGTCATTCTTACAGAAAAATGGCTCAGGCTGATATTGACGAGGGGTTATATTCTCGACAGCTGTAAGTTTACTGTAAAATATTCTTATTAACTTTCCTGAGGCTATCTGCATCTTGGTTAACCTCTACCTTTTTTGTTCTTTCTATCTCTGATATCTTTGGAAATTGCATTGCTAGCAGTCACTGCTGCACAAGAGTGTAAAGTACCTGAATAATCATATTTTCATTTTTAGTAATCATTTTTACTTTATTTACAATAAGTGCTATTGAAACTGAATGCAATTATTTCAATAGAAAATTTGTTGTACTTTTTTACAATAGTTAGATGTTAAAAGTACATGTTTCGCATGTTTGCAGTTTCCTCTGTTTGTTAAAACAAACAAACAAAAAGAAAAGCATGGAAGCATAGTAAACAAAATGTGACCCTGGACCACAAAAGCAGTCTTAAGTCTTAGTTTGCTTAATTTGCTGTAAAGTTGCTTTGCAATGATTTGTATCGTGAAAAGCGCTGTACAAATAAACTTGAATTGAATTGAATTGAATTAAGTCGCTTGGGTATATTTTTAGCAATAGCCAAAAATTGACCCTTATGACTGGTTTTGTGGTCCAGGGTCACAAATGTTTAAAAGCAGACATGTGATGCTTGTATTTTTGTACATGCACATTCATTAGTTTTTAATTTTGTTGTATCAGGTTTTAATGTTAATGTAAATCATCTTTTTGAGGTCGGGTTACTTAGCTCGAGGAATTCCAGTTATGTATTTCATCAGTGCTGTACGAATAGTTATGCCCCACCTTGCCTGGTCTCTTCCTGGTATTTTTCACATAAAAACCAAAGCAAAAGTGACTGGGCTTGTTTTATGCGTAGTTGAAATCATTTGTATACTATTTTGTTTATCAGAATTGGATTAGAATTAGTTTATCAAATACAATAAATGATGACTGTGCTTAAAGACACAATATGTAAGTTTTCGCCACTAGAGGGAGCATATTCAAAACAAACAAAGTAACAAAGGCGTAGTTTTCTCTGGGGACACATGGCTCGAAAGCAGCGGAGCTTTTATTATGCCACAGTCAACCGCTTCCGCGCCTTCCGGTCGTGAGTATGTGGGGGGGGGATAAAACAGGTGTGATACTGTTTTATCACACTAGATACATTTGAAAGTTCTGTTATAATGCTACTCTGTGCGGTCGTCACCGGTCTATTAAAACACACAACATATTAAAGCGTCTTTGGTGTTTCCATGTTTTCTACAAAACAAAACCAGAAATCGAGGGGTTATGACGTCATTGGCAGGCGACACAATGACACTATGGACACGGTCCAGTGTCACTAGTTAAAATTGCTTATTTCTCTGGATTTAAACATTCTTCGAAACATTTGGGATAATGTAAGTACACAAGTCAGCAAAATACATAACACTGTTCTAGTGGTTTTTGGATATTTTAATAGAAAAGTCTCACATATTGTGCCTTAAAGAGCATTTTGATTTTTTTTAAATTGCTTGTTCCCTAATTCTCAGTAGCTTACTGTTTATTGTGAAACTATTTCATATGTTATTTAAATATGCAAAGTGCAAAGAATACATCATGGTAGCATTTGTTAAATTAAATGTATGCTTGTTTTATTTTAGATTGAAAGTTTTATTTATTCTGTCACACAAAATAGGTCTATTTAAAATTTAGCATTCACAGTTCAAATGTTTTAAATATTAAATCAGTTGGTAGAGAAATGTAACTTTTATCTCACAACAGGTACGTGATTGACCATGATTCAATGCGTCGCATGGGAAGGGCCGATGTCCTCATTGCTGGAATGCGAGGTCTTGGCGTGGAGATTGCCAAAAACGTGATCCTGGCTGGAGTTCGATCGGTCACCATTCAGGATGAGGGTGTGGTGGAGTGGAGAGATCTGTCTTCTCAGGTAATAAGTCCTATTAATGCAATTAAAAGAATAGTTCACCTAAATGAATATTCTGTCAGCATTTATTAACCACAAAAGATGATGTTTTGAAGATGCTCCAAGCTGCTGTTTTGAACAGTGATTCATACATGTGTGCATTCAGACTTGCAAGGCCAATTGCAATGTGGTACATTTAAATATTTTGAATTAAATGCAACTTCGAAATAGTTTTGAGAGCTAAAATGTGGAAAGAATTTACTTTCATTGCATGGAAAAATCTGCTCCCCTTTTGTGTTCCATGAAAGAAAGCAAGTCATGCTAGTTTGGAAAGACATGACAGTTAGTAAATGATGACATAATTTTCATTTTAAGGTGGATCATCCTTTTAATTTGTAAAAATGTAAATGGATTATTCAGGTGTCTTTTACAAACGGCTATTTATATAATCACTTATTTACATGAAATTCTCTCTGTAGTTTTACCTAAAGGAAGCTGATCTGGGTCAGAACAGGGCCTTGTGCTCTGAGAAGCAGCTCGCTGGTCTGAACGTCTACGTTCGAGTGTCTGCCTGGGCTAACAAACTCGATGAGGACTTCCTCAGCAAGTTCCAGGTGAGTACTGATTCTGGTCTCATAATGCATATGCAAAAAAGATTTTAGTTTTAACCCTTTTTTCCTGCTTTGTTATATTTAATGTGTTTATCACAATAGGTGGTGGTGCTCACAAATTCACCTTTAGAGGAGCAGCTACGTGTGGGAGCATTTTGTCATTCGAACAATATAAAGTTTATTGTGGCTGACACCAGAGGGCTTTGTGGGTAGGCTGCATCCCATGAATCAGAAAATATCTGAAAAAGGTTAAAATAGTGCTGAATCACATTCTGATTTCCGTGTTTGGTTCGCAGGCAGCTGTTCTGTGACTTTGGCGAATCATTTGAGGTCAGAGACACAAATGGAGAGACTCCAGTATCAGCCATGATTGCTCGTATCAGCAAGGTGACACAGGACAAAAATCACACATTCACTTTCAGTTCGGTCCTCTTAAAGGGATACTCATCCTCATGCAGTTCCAAATCTATAAGACCTTTGAGTAACTTTGAAATACAAATACAGACAGTTTTAAATTTTGAACATTTTTAATGAAATCTGAGAGATTTCTGTCCCTCCATTAAATGCCTGTTCCAGCAAAATTAATCCATAAGAATCCAGCAAAAAGAATATCCACATAAATCAAGATATTTAATCAAGCATTTTTGAGTTTCTGTTCACCGTAATTGATTTGCTGTATATATGTGTGTTGATCAGTATTTAAATGTGAATGTAGATTAAATTAAATCTGTTCACCATAAAGTGATTGTGCCTTTTCAGAAAACTTGGATTACACAGTTTGATTCATGTGAATTAAGTTTATTTTGTCTTATGAACTTTATGAAGTGTTTAAGTGTTGGGGGAATGGACTTGTCTCAGAAATGTCTCAGATTTCATTAAAATATATATTTTTTGTGCTTCAAACATGAACACAGTCATATGGATTTGTAACAACATGACAGAATGTTCATTATTAGTTTCTGTGTAATTTTCTAGAGGTTCCAAATGGAATTGCAAACAATGATTGTTTCAAAACAAGTTGCCAAAAATTTCCTACCACCCCTTATGAGTCAACATTTCTTAATTTCGAATACAATTTTTACAATCCTCCAATTAATTTGAGCTGAAACTATATCTTATTTTCCATCGTAGGACAATCCAGGCATAGTGACATGCACAGATGAGGAAAGCTACCGATGTGAGTTCACCGATGGCATGTTTGTGAATTTCTCTGAGATTCAAGGCATGACTGAACTCAATAGTTATGGCCCCATTGAGATCAAAGTGAGAGGTAGGTGTCATATGATCAAATATATGGAAAACATCTAGAGCTGTGGATAGAGAAGATCAAGGAAAAAGTCAATAGCAATGCAAATCATTCAATAACAATATATATTAATGTTTTTAGACAACTACTCCTTCAGTATTTGTGACACTTCAAACTTTTCTGAGTATGTGAAGGGTGGAGTGGCAACTGAAGTGAAACAGCCTGAAATCCTCAGCTTTGTAAGTATCACCCAGAATTGATTTATTCCATAGTGAGGATACTTGACTGCATAGTATGGAATAATTAAATATTTTAAGATGCTACTGATGTAGTATGTTTTTGAAATGTGTCGACGTACAGCACTATAGAGGGAAGTCGTGGCCTAATGGTTAGAGAGTCGGACTCGTAACCCAAAGGTTGCGGGTTCGAGTCTCGTACCGGCAGGGATTGTAGGTGGGGGGAGTGAATGTACAGCGCTCTCTCCCACCTTCAATACCACGACTGAGGTGCCCTTGAGCAAGGCACCGAACCCCCAACTGCTCCTCGGGCGCCGCAGCGTAAATGGCTGCCCACTGCTCCAGGTGTGTGTTCACGGTGTGTGTGTGTTCACTGCTGTGTGTGTGCACTTTGGATGGGTTAAATGCAGAGCACTAATTCCAAGTATGGGTCACCATACTTGGCCACATGTCATGTCACTTTCACTTATAGCAAGTCACCTCATTCAGGTGATATTTTAATGCTCACAGAATCCTCTGAATGTGGCTCTGGATGAAGCAATCAGAGATCCTGAGCTTGTGAAGATGACGGACGATGGCAAGAGACAAAGACACCAGTCTCTGCACCTGGCCTTCCAGGCCCTGCATAGATTCACTCAGAAATACAGCCAGATACCCCATACTAGATCCCAGGTCAGTCAAACAACACCTTTATGCTAAATAAGGTTTTTAAAGTATGTCTATCGATATTTTCACAGGACAGGTGTGACCTATTTGACCGAGTGTATTGTCACAACATTGTGTAAAATGTCGGCTAAGGATAAAGAAAGTTGACTGGCACTTTAATAATTATTGATATACTTTTATCTCCATTAAAATATTTTATTATACATCTAAAAGCATTATAATTTTTTATGTTGTGAAAGATATTTGCTCAGACAATGATTACATTTGATTACAATTATAAATCATGCAGTGCATCATGACATATAAAATTTTGTACAAGGTTATTCTATTTTTTTTTTTTTCATAACTTTTTTTAAAAAGTAAATGGAAAAACAGTTTACAGCATTGTGTCTAACAAAAACAAACAAAAGTGGATTTTCACTACTGAATATAGGTCAGGAATTGTATTCTGAATGAGAAAGAAGCACTTAATGCTATGTTATAATAGTAGAATTAGAATTTATTGCACCTTGATCTGTGCAATCTGTGTTTTTGCTGCCCTATAGGCTGATGCTGAAGTGCTGGTTACTATCACTAAAGAGCTTTGCAGAGATGCAGAGTTTGATCAGCTTGATGAAGACACTGTAAGGCAATTATCTCTGGTTGCCAGCGGTGACCTGGCGCCTGTCAATGCCTTCATTGGCGGTCTGGCTGCTCAGGAGGTGGTGAAGGTGAGCTTAGTCATATAACATTTTACACTGGCAGCACCAGTTGAGTTTAAGACCATGGTGTATATATAAGCACATTTTTTAATGACTACATTTGTATGAAATCTTTCAGGCGTGCAGTGGTAAATTCACTCCTCTCAGACAGTGGCTGTACTTCGATGCCCTGGAATGCCTACCTCAGGAGGACGATGGAGTCCTTTCTGAAAACGCCTGTGCTCCTGTAAGCTACAAGGCAGCTCATTCTCAGTATTTAGAAAATACGAAAGTCTTGTTTCTGATGGTTTCTGAAGAACATAATCAACTGAGCACTTTATGTGCTTCTTATAAAGTGATCATTATCTTTTGTGCCGTAGAGAGACAGCCGATATGATGGGCAGATTGCTGTGTTTGGATCTGCTTTTCAAGACAAACTGAATAAACAGAACTATTTTCTGGTGAGTGTTTCACCAGCAGGGGAGGACATGATCCTGATTTGTGTTTCAGTAAACCCTGTTGGATGACTCTCAGCTACTTATCGTTGGTCTGTTATGGTGAGCAGTGAGCACATCAGTCAGTGGTGTCGAATGCACAGGAAATATTTTATGTGCCATGTGACATTTCCTGTTGAGCACTAAGGATATGTCAGTCAGAGTTTCCTATGTGAATCAACCGAATAATTCAGATTTTTGGGGGTGAATTTTCTGGTGTATTACTTTGGTGACTTTGAATGTCGCTAACAAAGAGTGAAAAATTTAAGGGGGTCTGAATACTTTCCGTACCCACTGTATTTAACACACCGTTTGTTCATATAAGTTTTATGCTAATGAAGTTTAAGCAAGGATCTATTAAATTGATCAAAAGTGGCAGTAAAGCCAATAGTGTTGCCAAAAATATATATATTTAAAATGAATTCTGTTTTTTTTTTTTTACTTTCTATTTATCAGTGAATTCTGAAAAAAAATGTATCACGGTTTCCAGAAAAATACGAAGCAATACAGCTGTTTTCAACATTGATAATTATAAGAAATGTTTCTAGAGCAGCAGTCAGCATATAAGAATGATTTCTGTAGGATCATGTGACACTGAAGACTGGAATAATGATGCTGAAAATGCAGCTTTGCATCACAAGAATAAATTACATTTAAAAATGTACAGTATTTCAAAAGAAAACTGCTAAATTCTAATAATTTTTGACAATATTACTGTTTTAGCGTGAAAGACTCCAAACTTTGAACAGTAGTGTAGTGTATATATGCTATAAAGAACATAACTTCCAAAATTTTACTTCAAAATTCCAAAACCTGCACCATCTCTCAGTCTTGGAGATTATTCATTTAATATTTCTGGTCAGTTCTCATCAGAATGTCTTTGTCTATGATCAGGTTGGAGCTGGAGCAATTGGTTGTGAGCTGCTGAAGAACTTCGCTCTGATTGGTCTGGGTGCGGGAGAGGGCGGGAACATTACAGTGACTGACATGGACTCTATTGAGCGATCGAATCTGAATCGACAGTTTCTGTTCCACTCTAAGGACATTGGGGTAAGACGAGTTGGCACCAAACAACAGCAAAGAACACCTATACAATTGATTTACACTTCAGAAATTGGATTCAGTAAGATCGATGACTGTTGTCTACAACAGAATATGAAATCTTTTTGAATGAGCCACATCTGTATCACGTTGCGCCTAACTTAACCCCTTAACTCCTTAACTATAATGCATTTATATTTATTCCTTCTGTGTCTCTCAGAGGCTGAAGTCTGAGGTGGCGGCAGAGTCTGTTAAAGAGATGAACCCTCACATGAACATCACCGCTCACCAGAACCGTGTGTGTCCTGAGACGGAGGAGGTCTACACACATTCATTTTACAGCAGCCTTGATGGTGTGGCAGCCGCGCTGGATAATGTGGATGCACGTGAGTGCTGACTCTGCTCAGTTTTATGATGCACTAACAGTGTTTACCAACCAAGTTCACGTCATCTCACCCATACTGACAATTGTAAACATGTGTCTAACATTTTATTTTCCTTATGCAGGAGTCTATCTCGACCAATGCTGTGTGCGAAACAAAAAGCCTATGCTGGAGGGAGGAACTCTAGGTAGTAAAGGCCACACTCTGGTAGTAGTACCACATCTGACTAAATCATACGGACCCTCCACATCGGGAGGGCAGGAAGCCATTCCTATCTGCACACTTAAGAACTTCCCTCACCGTATAGAGCATACGTTACAGGTCAGAAGGCACTTGTACTGATGGAAAGTTTATTTGATTGAACATTTATCTGTTTGACAGGTTAACAGGTTCAGCAATTCAGTAGCCACTTAAACATCTATTACCATTTCTCTCATTGTGTGAGCACAAACACTTTCATTTTGATGAGAGGTTTTTAGGAGTTAAACTGCAGTATTACACCAAATGTCGATTAAAGGCTCATTCACATCAAGAATGATAACTTTAAAGATAGCTAGAACGATAGCTGCTGTATATTAGTGTTCACACCAAAGGACAATTACATTCTGTTTATTGTAAGTGCGCACTGCATTTTTGTCGTCTGCCACATTAAATGCAATAAAATAATAAATAAACAGAATTGTATATATATTTATTAAATATTTGCAAATAAACTACGTGATAATTTTAATGCAGCAGTTGCATTTTTACCTTACATGAAGCTATGATTGTATGCGAATCACAAATCGATTGTTTGTCATTTTCAGTGGGCCAGAGACCAGTTTGAAGGACTTTTCAAACAAACAGCAGAGAATGTGAACAACTTTCTCAGGTATAGATGAATTCAGTTTAACTAGTTAATAGTCTAGAAGAGCAAATGTGTGGAGGATATATAGGGTGAAGAGGCTCTACAGTTATCAGCAGATACAGCTATTGTGCCAGAGATTCGGTTTCAAAATCATACTCCTTCAAGTATACATGCTCATGTCCAGGCTCAGCTATTCATTATTAGTGCAACCCCAGGCTGCCCCCTGGCTTCCTGCCACAAGTGTCAACTGTTGTCAGATCTCTTTTCCATCTGAAATGAAGTGAAGGATGTTTATAGAGAGGCGAGTGTGCAGGAAGTTGAGGTGCTGTGTGCTGTAGGCAGATACCGCAAAGGGAAGGCAGCAGCTTAACTGCCTCAATCTCAACTACTTCCTCTTGGCTGTTGGCAAATTGCAGCCTGTGAGTGATGATAATAGCCGTGCTTTTAGTGCCATGTGAAGCTTAATATATATATATATATATATATATATATATATATATAAATATAAATATGAATATATAAATTAGATTTTTTTTTTCAAATTACAGATTTTTATGACAATAAGGGGGTGAAATGTGATTAACTATTATTTAAAAAGTGAAATTTATTGCATTTAAAATAAGAAATTTAAAAAAGACCATTATCATCCCTAATGGTCTGTAAGCAAATTATTATTCTTATTTTATTTTTTTTATTATTTTATTTATTTATTTATTTTAGCTTGGGATGAAATTAGAGACAAACATAAAAGACAGTGACAACACAGTGACAATTTTAATGCAGCAGTTGCATTTCTACCATACATGGAGCTATGACTGTATGTGATTCACAAATCAATTGTTTGTCATTTTCAGTGGGCCAGAGACCAGTTTGAGGGACTTTTCAAACAAACGGCAGAGAATGTGAACAACTTTCTCAGGTATAGATGAATACAATTTAACTAGCTAATAGTCTAGAAGAGAAACTGTGTGGAGGAAATATAGGGTGAAGGGGCTCTGCTGTTATCAGCAGATGCAGATATCGTGTCAGAGATTCTGTTTCAATATTATACTACTTCAAGTATACAGGCTCAGCTATTCATTATTAGTTCAAACCCATGCTTCCTCCTGGACTTCCTGCCGCAAGTGTCAACTGTTGAACAATCTCTTTTCCATCTGAAATGAAGTGAAGGATGTTTATAGAGAGGCGAGTGTGCAGGAAGTTGAGGTGCTGTGTGCTGTAGGCAGATACCGCAAAGGGAAGGCAGCAGCTTAACTGCCTCAATCTCAACTACTTCCTCTTGGCTGTTGGCAAATTGCAGCCTGTGAGTGATGATAATAGCCGTGCTTTTAGTGCCATGTGAAGCTTAGCCTAAACAATTGATGTTTAAAAAAATTAAAATAATGAAAACTACTCATACTGATAGCGCTACCTCTTTTTTCCATCTCTGCAGTGACCCAACATTTGTTGATCGCACATTTGCACGTGGGGATGTGGAGGCTGTGGAAATACTGGAGGGCGTCTATAGGAGTCTGGGTGAGGAATGGCCTCAGAACTGGGCTGACTGTGTCAGCTGGGCCCGCAGACAGTGGGAAACACTCTACAACAATCATATTAGACAACTGCTGCACTGCTTTCCCCCTGACCAGGTAACACAGAGACCAGTGTACACATTTATACCATTTATACATACATGTGACATAGTAGCTAAAGCATATGGCTAGTAACCAGAAGGTATCTGGTTCAAACTAATTATGCAACCTAGGGGAATTATCACTGTAATAGGGTACATTTCATGAAAGCATGTCTATATAATATCCCAAAATCAAAATAATTTTTTTTTAATAATACCTATTTTAAGAACTAGTGTGATTTTTCCATTGTGACATTATTTCTATGATAATTGAGCAATTTTATTCCCCTAAAATTATAATTACCAGACAGTCTGAAATATATATATATATATA